TCCTTCTCTGCAGGATGCATAGGTATGTCCATCTCATGGGAAAGCCATACAGAGGCGTGTCTGGTGAAAAAGAACAACCCAACAGACCCAGGTTTTGCTATCAGAGTTACAAACGCCCTGAAGGAACAGCTCGGTTTTGGAAGAAACATCAGGTGAAGTGCAGGCAGCTCTGCAAATGCATTAAGGGAAAGGCGGGAGGCTGGGTGCCGAACTTTGCTTGCAGGAGAAATCCTTGTGCCAAGTAAGGTCAGTGGGATTACAGGGGCAAGCAGGGATTGCTCGGATGAGTGGAGATGGAAAGAGCCCAACCCTTGGTTTCCACCCTGGCTTATACGGAGTGAATGCCACCGCGCAGGCAGCCATACATGACTTTGTATTTGGGAAGGCTTCAAGACACTGTTTCCCTTCGTAATTCATCTTTTCTGCAGTCAGCAGGTAAATCACCCCTCTAATGACCAGGGGACACGACTACTGCCAAAACCACAACGTGAATGAGAAATCACAATACTGATAAAAAAATACCAAATTTGAAATGGGCTGCTCACACTGACTTGCAGCAGTAATCACAGCAACCCTGTGCTAAAGCCAGCAATGGAAAGCTGCAAATCTATCCCAGAGCAGCTGAGTTTAGAGAGCATGCTCCCTCCCTGCCCCCCCCCCGGGGCCTCCCCACCCAAATGGATGAGGTTTGGCCCTTCAGCTGTTTATAAAACCAGCAGTATTGCGCCCAGACACACTCGGCAGCATTCCTCCTTCTCATTCCTGTGAGCTATATAAGGGAACGGCCAATTCCAGCCTCGCTCCCCCGTAGCCAGCCCCGATCCCTTCGCACCGGAGCAGCCCCCAGCTTGGTTTCCTGCAGAAGGACTTAAATCTGTCCTCAGTGGAACACGGCACTGCGCTGGACCTTGTCATCAAATGGCAGCACAAGGCAGCTGCCAAATCCTGCCGGCTCAGAGCTCTAATAGGGAACAGCTGGAGAAGGACCCTGCATTCCTCCCGCCCCATCCACACCAGGGGCTCTGTTCAGGATCCAGTACTCCGCTCAGGATCCGGCCGCCACCAGCCCGCGAGATTTCCAAACCCACAAGATTTCCCCCCTGTCGCAAAATGCTCCCTGCACTGCTTCCACACACACAGCCCCAGAAGTGAGAACTCCCAGCATATCTCCCCCACCCCCTGGGGTTTTAAACAAAAGGGATGCTTTTCAACGGAGATGGGGAATTGCTGTGCCTTCTTTTGCTGCTGTTTTGTTTGGAGGGGTTGGGGAAACAGAACTATGCACTTCAAGGCAGATTCTGCCTTCCCTACTTTCATTTCAGCATTTCAGAAACTCTGCCTAAAGCAACTCGCATCCCCACGTACATCTGCGCACACACACTTGGGAACATACATGTTTGCAGTGCACACACACCCATAAACAAACGCGTTAGCACGCAGCGCCATTCGCACACCCCTCGTGCCATTTTCATCCTGTTCCAACTCCAATTACTTCTGCGGAGTTGAGTCACTTGTAATGGGGTATAAATAAACCCGAAATACACTTTCGTAGCCACGCACGTCCTCTGTAATGCACCCTGCATGTTCAGTAATACACAGCAGGCTACTCGCATTTTCTTAGCGCTCCACTGAAACACAAGGGGGGTATTCAGAGCCGCAGGGAAAAAAATGCGTCCAAACAGGATCTGAATTATGAAATAGGAATTCCTACACTTAAAAAAAAATAAAATTAAATAATAATGGTATAACCCAGCTGCCCAAGCCTTTAGAAAATAACAGTTCGCTTAAGGTAGCGATGGACTGCTTCTGCATGCTGCAGAACGCAAAGCAAGCCACGTTGTCCAAAAGAAGCCTAGAAAATCCAGACTCTACGTGACCTGACTTACTTATTTCACAGGAAACTGCATGGAAGGAGGAAGGGGGGGGGGGAGGGGAAGAGAGGGAGAGGGGAGATAAAAAACCCCTCCAATCATTCATGCTCCCGTAGTTACACCACGCCATAGACCAGAGTAGTTTGCTGTGAAAAACCAAACTGAAATCAGCCATCAGCCGTTTGCAAAACAAAAATGTAATGAGAGAAGCTGCAAACGCGATCAGGCTGGGGAGCCCTGGCTCCCGACCTTTTCCCTCGGGTGGGTTTTCTGTGGTTTTGTATTTAATTTTGCCTGCGTGAGAGCACCGTCTGAGAAGGAGCTGCAGCAAATAACACTCACCAGGGTTGTTGGCCTCCCCTTCGAGAATGTGGAGCTCGGTGCAGTCTGCCAGGGAGTGCTCCAGGCAGAGCTGGAGGAAGCGAGCTTGGGTCCGACTAACGCGTTTAAGCAGCGAGAGCAGCGCAACAGTCTGCTCGCACTCGTTCCAGCCCTTGAACCAGCCGGCCAACACGCCGACCTGGTCTCGAAACATCATGGTGAGCCGGCGGCCGGAGGAGACACCTCTGCGGGGGCACAGAATAAATAACCGGGAGAGCCTCCCCGCCCCGACGCCGCTTCCTCCCCTCCGCGCCGGGTCAGGGTTGAAAAATAACAATAATCGAAATTAAGAGAAAAAATACACCAAAACCAACGGATCTCCTCGGCAATCAAAAGGGTGGGTTTTGTTTTGGACGCAGCTTTCGGCCTGGGTTGGGTTTTACTCCCTCTCTTCTGGCTTCGGTGCGGTGCTGGATTCCCTGATGGCGACACGGGAGGGAAGGAGGGAGAGGGCGGCCAAAAAAAAAAAAAAGGAAAAAAAAAAAAAAAGGCAAAAAAAATTAGGAAAACCCCAGCGGCAGGGTCAGGGCTGCCCTGGAGAGGCGGCGGGGGCCTCACACCTGAAACAGAGAGCGGGGCGTCAGGGGGGCACAGCAGGAGAAGGAGAGGGAGGAGGAAGGCTGGCCCTCGGCCCTGGCACCGCAGCCCCCCCCCCCCCCCCCCGCCTCCTTCCCCCCTCCTCCTCAACGGAACAGACCTCTGACACTCCCAGCCGAGTTTGGGGGGGGACACCCCACAGGGCATAAGCAACCCCCTATGCATCCAGCACCCCTGGGGAGAGAGGGACCCCCCCTCCCACAGCACCCAGGCAGGGGGGAAGGAGCCCCCCTAAAACATTCAGCACCACTGGGGGGGGGGGGAGGGAGGAAAGAGAATAAACACCCCCCCGGCAACACATCCAGCGGCCCGCGATAAGCACACACACACCCCCCCCCCCCCCCCACGCACACGGGCCCGCATGGGGAGCGGAACAAGCAACCCCCATGCATCCACCACCCCGATTTGGGGGGAGCACACAAACAACCCCTCCGAAGCCTCCAGCACCGGGGGTGTCCCCACTGCAGCAAAGCACAGCTAAAGGGAGGGGGTGCGGAGGAACGAGCCTGCCCGTCCGTCCCCGGACACTCACCTGGCTCGCCGGGGCCCCGGGGCGCGGGGGAGGGCGGCGCGGCTCCGGGGGGGGCCGTGCCATGGCGGGGAGAGGGGAGGGGGAAAGGGGACGCGCGGAGCGCGAGCGGCGGCGGCGGCAACTCCGCGGCGAGAGACTGAGCCCGGCGGCGAGAGAGCCCCCGCTCCCCACATGCCGCTCATTTGCATAGCGGTGACGTCATGGGGCGGGGCGGGGGGGCCGCGCGCTCCCGTTCCCCAGCGCACCTACACCCCCAGCCCCCGGCTGCGAGCCCCTCGCGGTAGGGCACAGCCAGCCCCCCTCCGGTGCTGGGGGGACACCCGCCGGGCGGGGCGGGGCGGGGCGGAGCGGGTGGAGGGCGGGGGGGAGCCCCGGCCCCTACCGTCGGCCCCGGGCCAGGCGGCGGCGGATTTCCCGCTGGAGGAAGCCACCATCTAGTGGAGCGCGGGGTAACGGCAGCGCTGCCTTCGCTGTTGGGGGGCACATACACACACACACACCCCCACACGCGCGCACACACACACACACACACACACCCCCACACGCACGCACACACATATACACACACACGAGTACACACACGCGCACACACGCGCACACGCGCACACACACACACATACACACGTGCACACATGCGCACACACACACATACACACACACACCCCCACACGCACGCACACACATATACACACACACGAGTACACACACGGGCACACACGCGCACACACACACATACACACATACACACGTGCACACATGCGCACACACACACACACATACACACGTGCACACATGCGCACACACACACACATACACATACGCACGCACACACACACACGTGCACACACACACACATACACACGCGCGCACACACGCACACACACACATACGCGCGCACACACGGACACACACATACACACACGTGCACACACACACATACACACGTGCACACACGCACACACATACACGCGCGCGCACACACGCACACACACATACACACACACGCGCACACACGCACACACACATAAACACAAGCACACACACACATATACACGCACACGCAGGCACACGCGCGCACACACACACATGCGGTACTTTCAGCGTGCCGCAGCAGCGAAAAGGGACATTTTAAACGTGATTGGATTTGGTTGAAGCGTTCTGCATGTCGGCATGCTCGGTGGTAAATGCTGCCCCAGGAATCGGGGGAGCAGGCAGTGGGGATGGATGGGCTTAAGGCTGAGAGCACCAATAGTGCCCAAGAGGGGCAGGATTTGTGCTTCGGGTTACTGATTTCCCCAGCAGTCATATTTCAGTTTAGTTTAGTTTAATTTTATTTTTCTATCCTATGATACTATATTCTGCTGTATTCTGTTCTGTTCTATCCTGTCGTACTCTATTTCAATATCCCTGCTATTCAAGGAATGAGTGATACAGGTATATCCAAGGGAAATAGAGGGGAGATGCGACCAAAACCAAGAATAAGCATTTACAAGAAGGCAGAAAATATTGAGCAGATTCTAACACGTTATAAAGCCCAAATAAAGGCGTAAAGTGGGTTTATTTGTGAATGTGGCAAATGTTGGGTGTGTGTATGGCTTGTGCTTCTGGGAACTATTGCAGCATTTCCTGGTACCTGTTGTGTTGTGGACAGGGAAGCTCGGAGGTAAGAGGAGTCAGGAGGTGGTGAAGGAGGTACGTGGGATGTGACTGTGGGAAACCAGGGGCTGAACCTCCCCAGTGGTGATGCCATTCCCCAAAAACAGCCATGTGTGGGTGCTGGAGAGAGGAAAACTCTGAATTTGGGCCTCCTTTGGCTCAAAAAATCAACACACATGGCTGAACCTATTACTTTTTTTGGGGAAAAGATAAAGGCTGCCTGAAGCACCAGGAATACCCAGTCCCGTGCGCAGGAGCGTCCCCCCCACAGCAGGACCGCAGGACGAGGATCACCAAGTTGCTTCCCGTACATCAAGCGCAAGTGGTCCATCTCGCCCTGCTTAAGAGTTTGCACATTACACGCTTTAGCTTTCAGTATGTCTGGTGACTAATTAAACAAACAGGAGCGGAGTTCCCTGCCAACAAACCCAACCATCTGCCTCATCCTCCAGCTCCATCCAAATAAATGGTCCATCAAAGAGCCCCTTTCCCCTCACCTCGGTGCTGACAGTCCTCCCGCTGTCCGGGTGTCTGAGGGACAGCCCGCCGAGCTGCGAGGATACACCATCTGTGTGTGCGCGTCTGGCATGGGAATGTGGAGCGAGGCTTGTTAAACTATCGGTGTAAACAGCACAAGGAGCTCTGGGCAGAACTCCGTGCACTTGCACGTTGCTAATTTAAGAGTTGCCAAGCTTGCTTTGCCGATAACGCCTCTCAGGTTTTGCATTTTGCACATCCAAAGTGGTAACAGCAGAGTATTTAGGGATCAAACATTAAATGCAGCCCTCTGCAAGGCCACGTGGATTGGTGAGATGTGGTGTCCCTCCACATGCAGAAGTCATGAATGAGCGAGAGTAAAAGGACTGAAGGCACAGAGTCTGTCCTGTGCCCTTGGAGACATTGACAGCTGCCTGATAACAGACCCCAAAGTAATCATCCACCACTCAGGACCCCACAGTACCTCTTTCCCCTTTAACGTCCCCAGGAAGCAGATGTGGAGGAGTGAGATACTGATGTAACAGCATACGCTGTGATGTTTGGAGGTTTCTATGGTAATTACAAATAATGTATCTGCGACCCATGGAAGAAACACCCTTCCGCATCCCCAGCTGCATCCGTAGGTGCATTGTGGGGTGGGCGCACATGCAGATCAATGTGACCCAAGGGTTCCAAGCTGGCTGGAAGCAAATCTTCTTTCCCAGGGCTCATATGCTGGGGCAGAGGTGCCCATCACCACCTCCACGGTCAATTCCCTTCCCCAAGGATGGAGGACCCCATGTGCAGATGTTGTGTCCTAGGGGCAGAGACGCCCTAGCTCCGCACAAACACGAGGCAGTGGAAAAGCAGGATAATTCTATTTGATATGGCAACTCCTGGGGAACCTTGGGATCTTCATAGATCCAGCTAGAGCATTTCTGCAGGGCTGGAAGTCCCAGGGTAAAAAGCAGAGGCTGTTAGTGGGGTTTGCAGTGTCCGGGCTGTCATTATTTGGCCAAGGCAGAACTGATGGCATGATCTGGCCTGCCTCCACTGCCAGCATGCCAGGGCAGCTTGTACAGCAACATTTAGGCATGCTCTACGTTTCTGTTTACCACTTGAGAGAGAAAACAAGAGGCCTGTGGTGATATCAGCCAAGCAGGTGGTCTAAGCAAATTAGAGAATCTTGATGGTTCATGAGTTCAAAGGAAGCAGTTGCTCATCTCTGTGGAAGCTATCCGATAGCACATTTAGCTGAAGAAAGGATGAGTACATCCACCGGCATACAATGGCCCAGATTTCCTAGCTCATGAAACCCAAATATTAGTGAAAATATCACAGTAGGCAGGCTGAGGTAAGTAAACATCCTTCCATTTGTTCCTAAACAAGGTGAGGGAGTTGGGCACTACGATGCTAGCATTTTCCTCACCTTGGGCAGTGAAGGGGAGCTGTATTATTCATGCAAATAAGCCCTACCAAAAGCAAACACAAATAAAAAAATCACAAAAAAGTTAAACAAGAAAACCTACATATTTCCAAATTAAATGCAGCAGCATTAAAAATATGTATTTATTATACTCACAGTCGTGTGCCCAGTCTCGGGTTCAGGGAGGACCTTGGGTCTGAACTCACCATGAGAGGTCACAGATCTATCCTGCCTGGGAGAAAATAAAAGACAATCCCAGGCCTGGAATACCTCATCTACATGCACCACACTCTGCTGGCATCGTTCTGGGGTAGGGAGTGAAATGCACATCTTCCAGCCTTTAATGCATGACGCTGGCATGGGGATCAGCTCTCAGCCTGGATGTACAACCATTCCTTCTCGAGTTAGCGGTAGGTTAGGTGTTGCACCCCAAGTCCTTCCAAGAGAAGTATGCACTGACCTGCCTGCCGCAGGAGGCAGTGATGGAAGATGAGGGCTGGGAAGAAGAGCGCATTTAACCCTCCAGCTTGAGCTACAGCAGGGGATTGGTCTGCATCTGAAGGGGAAAGAGAAGAAGTGCCAGCATCTGGGTGCTAGTGAAAGCATTGGGAAATACTGGTTAGCATGGGAAGCGCGGCTCACATTATATTTGTTTAGCCACTGTCAAGGGGTTGCTTTGAGGAGACCCTGCTTCAGTTCTGAAAACACTGTTGTGCTGTGAGCACACTGGCACCTGCCTCTCCAGCTCTCTGTGCTCTTGGTGAGCTGTTTTGCAGGTACCCTGGGGACACAGAGGCAACAGAATAAATCAGCTTAACTAATGGTTCTCAAAAAGCCACCCCTGGCTAAAGTACCATAGGCTGCTCTCGTGCCTAGTGATGTGCAGAGAATTGGTGACAAAGAGGAGCTGAGGAAGAAGGGGATGCGAATGATGTGTGTGTGTTGAGGGCAAAGCCTGACCCAAGTCCTGCTGGCCCGTTGGGGCAGCCTGGTTATGAGGTTTGTGCAGCACACATGTCCCATCCCAGCCCCTCTGGCCAGTCATCCCACAGCTACGGCTCACACCTCGGGTGGATCTGCAGCAAGATGCCTCAGTGGCTGTGGGCCCCTCTTCATCCGTGCTAACACCCTGTAAATGCCTGCTGGTGAGATAACTCCCTGGATGGCTATATCCCATAGCCTCACGTCATGTTTACCTACAACACCCAGATTTTTCAAACCATTTCCAGCCAGCAATGAAAGCAGCTCGTTGTAGGACTTGGAGCTGACTGAGTCTGTGTAGCAAGCAGATGGCCCTGATGAAACAAGACACTGATCCCCAAGGAGACACCATTCAACAGAGCTGCTTGACTCCCTGGCTCCAGCAGCTCCAAGGCAGGCTTGGAGATGTGCATTAGCACGCACCATTGAGGAAATTGCTTCCCTAACTACCCCTTCTCAAGCAATTCTCTTTGGAAGCCTGGTTACAACTCAAGACACATGTCAGCGGCACTGATACTAGGGCAGTTTTTCTGCTTAATAATGAAGCATGCCCAGTGCTGACAAAATGATAGTAATTGAAGGAGAATTTCCCTAAAGGAGAGTGGAAGAGTTGCCAGGCTGGGTGAGGGTTTAGATGTAGCCAAGGTTTTGGGTGGAGGAAAACCTTCACACTCTCACCTGACCAAATGGCAGGGGATCCAAGCATGAAAGGCAAACACAGGGGGAAAGAGCTCTCGTTGATCCTCCTGCTCCTGGCTCCAAACATGCAGCTTTCAGCCGGACTTGCAGAAATAACATCTAGGGCTGCACAGACATAGCAAGCCTGTGTGCATACAGCTAGAATAGATGTAAATAGAGACCACAGTATCATAGAATGGTTTGGTTTGGAAGAGACTTTAAAGCTCATCCAGTTCCAACCCCCTGCCATGGGCAGGGATGCCTTCTGCTAGACCAGGTTGCTCCAAGCCCCATCCAACCTGGCCTTGAACACTGCCAGGGATGGGGCAGTCACAGATGATTCACTGAGACACATCTATGGGGTATTCTACATTTTGCCTGTGTCCTCTGAAGACATTGCAAGAAGCAACAAGACAGAGATAAGCCATGGAAACTGAGTAAGCTGATGAGAAAGGCACAACATGCTGAGGAGGTAGGGTGGGTTTGGCAGAGGGCATTCAGTCTCAGCCATGCCCTGCACACCGCCTTCATGTCTCTCTCCATCCCACCACATCTCAGACCACTTGCTTGCCCAGGATGCTGCCTGCTTGCCTGGTTATGGAGGTTGCTTCTCAGAGTCCTCAGGAGAGCTCCATCAATGAAGGCTAGCTCATCTATGAAAGGCTAGAAGTAAACTGGATACCAGCCCCAATACCCTGATGAACCAGGCCAGTTGTACAACACTTTGCCAGGTGCTTAAATTGCTTCTTTTATATGTTTCCTTGAGATCAGGGAATAAATAAACATGTAATGTTGCTCCATATATACCAAACTCAGCTCTCCCAGCTAAGCTCCAGCCACCACCCAGCAGAGCACAGTGGTGATCATGGCTTCCCTGAGGAACATGGCATGGGAAGTGGGGAACTGTGGCATCTCTGCCCAAGTGCTCCAAAACCACCACTCCTGTCTTCATGGATATCAACAAGTTTCTCTGCAAAAGGTGAGAAAAGAAGAAAAGAAGATTCTCATGGAAATGAGAAGATGCAAAAAGGGAATCAAACCACCTTCTGAGATCAGATTTTTGCAGGTGGGGTCAGACCAGGGCCCATCTCCAAATCCTGTTACAAAGGATTGTGTCGCTCCAAATAAGAGATGTGCAAAAACCTGAAAATCATTCCTACTCTTGTGCTTTAAGGAGCTCATTCAGAGAAACAAGACATCATTGATCAAAAGTCAGCAGATACATCTTTGTGTTTGCCTTTCCCTTGTATGGATTGGTCCTGCTCCCTGCAGCAGAGACGACCACATAGTTAACACATGAGATCATGTTCCAGTGTAGATGGCTGTGGTTAGAACTGGTTGCTGGCTCCAGGGAAAAGCTTTACAAGCTGCCACACCTCCTGTGATTGTCCCCAACTTCACCAGTATCCAGCCACCATTCTGTTGCCACTACCTCTTACAGCAGCCTTCAGGCTACATGGGACAAGGGAAATATGGGCTGTGCTGGAGGACATTGATTTTATGGGAATCTTCGAAGAATGAA